CCTACCCACCTATGACCATGAAGAGGACACAGACTCCATAGATGTGGCGGGAGTGCTTCTGGGCATAGGGGCGCATCAGGAATATCATGAGCGGTCCGAACACGAAGAACGGAACATTGCTGAACTGGACAGAGAAGGCCGTGGAGAGGGGGCTTGTCAGATGGGGGAGACAGAAGAGGGCTGCCCCCTCTGTCCAGTCCCTCAGTCGTCAGCCCATCGGTCACCTGCTGCGTTTCAACCCAAGATGTGTTCATCATTCACCTGTCAACCTTTTCCTTGTCCTTGGCCAACTAATTTATAGATCAATTACTCAATCCATTCTTTTTTTTTTTTTTTTTGAGTTTGGGTCTCACTCTGTTGCCCAGGCTGGAGTGCAGTGGCACAATCATGCCTCATTGCAGCCTCGACCTGCTGGGCTCAGGCGATCCTTCCACCTCAGCCTTCCAAGTAGCCAGAACTACAGGCATGCGCCACCACGCCTGGCTAATCTTTATTTTTTTATTTCTGGTGGAGATGAGGTCTCGCCAAGTTGCCCAGGCTGGTCTCAAAGCGCTGGGCTCAGACGATCCTCTCACCTCAGCCTCCCAAAGTGCTGAGCCGCCATGCACAGCCACCTGTCAACGTTTTAGTTGAGCTTGACCATCCACTGGTCATTTATGGGTCAATTACTCAATCCATCATCATTATTATTATGGAGTCAGGGTCTCACTCTGTCACCCAGGCTGGAGGGCAGTGGCATGACCACGGCTCACCGCAGCCTCGGCCTCCTGGGTTCAGGTGATCCTCCCACCTCAGCCTTCCAAGTAGCTGGGACTACCGGCATGTGCCACCAAGCCTGACTAATTTTTTGATTTATTGCAGAGATAGAGGTCTTGCTATGTTGCCGAGGCTGGTCTTGAACTCCTGGATTCAAGCAGTCCTCCTGTCTCGGCCTCCAAAGTGCTGGGATGACAGGTATGAGCCACCGTGACTGGCCTAAAGCTTGCTTCTAACCCCTTCCTGGAGAGATGGCGGGGCAAGCAGGTAGTATAAATGAGGTCTCGCTGCCCAGGCGGGTCTCGAACCCACGGGCTCAGGCCATCCACTCACCTCAGCCTCCCAAAGGCGCAGGATGACAGGCT